TCTGCATCAACTCTGTGACATTAAAATATCTGCGGTTCTCATTGGCAATCTCACAGGTACTGCTGTTACTGTGGTTTGTTGTCAACATTCACAATTAAAGAAAATGCTAAATCTATTAGAGACTAATGACCTCCCATCTAAGCTTGCGGATCCCCTAAATTCTATGCATGAAGTCCGGGTTAAAAGATACCTTGCATTAAGGGAATCTAACAATTTAATTTTTAATATTTATATGTAAAAGTGTCTTTCTTGATTCACCAAAGTTCTACCGGATTTAATGTTTCCAAAAAGAGGAAAAATGATAGTAGTGTCAAGAATTATAAATTGCTTGTAGAGCAAAGCCCTGGGTAGATCATGCATGTTTAAACCCTGTCTTCACTATTTATTGTGTTAACTTGGACACATTTAATTTCTCTAAACCTCAATCTCCCAATCTGTTAACTGGGAATAGTAACAGTGTCTGCTTCCCTCGGTGGTTGTGGGGATGACAGAATATACTGTATGTGAAAAATCTCGGCAAGTGCTTAGCCGGGTAATGGTTCATTAAATACCAATTAGAATTCACTTTTCAACAACACAACTGGATTAAAGGGATGATGATCTTCCTTGCAAAGTTATTCATAACTAACCATAAGGGGAAGCTGGGGGGGTCATCTGTTTTAAAGTACATATTTGCCCCTACTTTAGAATTATGAATCTCCGATAGTCTTTTAGGTCTAGGCACATTCATGAGAATAATTATACATAGGCAGAATTCAGATCATTAAGTGAACAAACCTAGACAGTACGATGTTGACATGATGACCCGAACCTTAGACTAAATTATCTCATATGTTCCCAGGACTAGACAATGAACCATAGCAAAATGACTAGGTTATATTATAGTCAACTGACTTAATGTAATATGACGCAGCCAATAAAATATTAACTAAAACAATGGCAACACGGAAAATGCTTATAATTAATATTAAGCGGAGCAGCTGGATAAGCCTTCTTGGATAATTTTCAACCCTGAGTTCTTTGAAACTAATTAGATTTGAATTGTATTTTGTTCTGATCATGAAGTTTTCTATCTTTTAGGGTTTTTTTTTTCTGTTCCAAATTGAACTTAATAGCCAATCTCATTTATTACTAATCAATAATTTATCCTGCTCATTGACAGTTCAAATTTCATGTTTCTATGTCTTTAAAACTCCCTCCACAACTTTATCCTCTCTAAGCCAAAATATTTTTAAAAATCTTCACTGAACTCCATGGAATTCCACGAGTACCTGACCGTGGAAGATTATTAGTGTTTTTATTATCCCATCAAGGCATTAACATGAAAAGACAATATAACATCAAAGCATTTGAAAAACAAAGATTCAAGTCGTTAAAGAAATTGCTAAACTATGACTAAACCCATGACCGAGGAAGAAAATCTGAGATATTAATCTGTTTCTCATCTATTAATCCATTTTAATCAGAAAACTTAATCTTGGACACATTACAACCAGAGCATTTTATCTCTAACAGCTGCGTCATAGACACAAAACTGAGATACGAGGCTCTAGATGGTGAAACATTTACGTTCTAAAGTGAAAATGTCTTAAGAAAGCTGAGAAACCCAAACTGGAGTGTGGTGTGGATCACGTCTCGTTTTCATTAGAAGAGGGAAGGCATTAGGATGGGAAGACCACACTATCGTATCTGCCAACAAAGCAAATCATGATTTCGAGAAACTGCTTTTACTAATCCTTTGGACTAACTCTCTGTGGACTGAATTCAGTCTCTGAGAAATCACCTTCAGCAAAGGCCCTAAATTAAGTCTAGGTCCTTCAGCCACACAAGAAGATAAAAGGATCTTTGATGAAGTAATTCTTCTACTCAGATAGAAACATTGATACCAGAGGGGAGAATCTGAAGAAAAACAAACAGGCTTGTCACAGGCTTAGTGATAAAATTTGATTTTAATTATTAAATTCAATTAACTACTTTATAAGACATTACTATTTAAACAACATAAACCAGTGCCTTTTACTAATTCTAAAAATGTAAGATTGTCTTAAAATGTTAGTTTACCTGCAAAAATTACAAAGCCATTGGCAGTGAGACATAAAGAAAGGTGAGGTTTCTGTAAAAAGCTGTAGGCCAATACACAATTTCACAAATGCTTAAACAACTCATAGCGGGAGGAAAAAAATTCTGCCAAATTCATGATTTTAGGAATCACTGAGCACAAAATAAACATGGAACAAACACTTCGAATATACACTGAGTTACTGAAAATGAGTTCAGGGGGATGGTCTAAGGCGGGGTTTGGGAAGTCCCTGCCCTAGGACACCTGCAAATCTGCTTTGAGCCTGACATCACTTAAGAGGTCTGTGACCCGCCCTTCAAAGGGGAAGGTTCTTGCCAGGCTCCACACACCGAAAAGCACAGGGCTGGACTCATACCACGTTTATAACCCACTGACACTCTGATCTATAAACTCGTCACACAGCAAGGCAAAAGAAGAAAAATTTAGTCACCAAGATTTTTTAGATTTTGGGCTGTTTAGGTAATTCATTTTAAGAAACAGTAAGCTGCAACTAATAGAAGAATTTATTTAGTTGACATGAAATATGTTTTCTTTGAATTAATAAGATCTGATTTCTCATGAATAAGTAGGAAAGAAAAACTCATTGCAAATCTTCAAAGAAAAACCATTGAGAAAAAAATGTTAAATGATACTTCAAGATTTTATAACTTTCAAATTCTGTCAAACACTATTACTTGAAATTTCACTTGTCAAAAAAATTCCACTAAAATATTACATGTTCCATGATTACAGGTATCTAATTAGTTAAAAATATGAAAAAATAATAAAAAATACATTTTCATCATTAATTTAAGGCTTTATGTAGCTCAGAAAATTGTGATGAATCTGTTATTTTAAAACATTCCATTGTTATTTTCAGTAAGAATAGCTTACTGAAAATAAGCCAATAGGAATGATGTCGGATTTAAACCTCATTCACGATGAAGAACTAGACAACTAATGTGTCACTATACTACGTTAAAAAATGATGACTGTGGATGGGGACAAGTGGGGAGGCAGACAGTGGCGACCTCTGGAAGATGGAATCTCTTCTCTCTGCTCGTCCTAGAAGAGAAAAGAGACACCAATAAGCATCAACACACTGTCCGAATTCCTCCCCACCAGAGAGAGACCCCCAGTCCACAGGGGTTTCTCAACCTTACAGCCATCCTCACCTTTATATATGGTATTCAGTGCCAAGAGGATATCAAAACCACCCTGGTCTCACTTAATTAGTGCTGCCTTAAAAAAATTCAAACGATCAAAAGTATTATTTATATGTACACAATTATAATGTGCATCATATGGGGCTGAAGGCAGCTAGATCCAAAAGTAACAGTTCTTATCTACTTTAAGAATAGCTTTCCAAAATTGCTGCACTCAACTATTTTAAATTATCAAGAGGATCGCTTCTCGGCCTTTTGGCTAAGATCAAGTGTAAATTATCAAGAGGAAATTAAGTATAATTTTTAAATGTCTGAATTATCCATGTGGGGGGAGCACATCCATAACAAATCAACTGACTACAACCAAATCCTCAGGCTGTACCTGTTGCGACTCATTCAATGTACAAGGAGAGGACCGGGCGACAGGGTTGTTCACATCAAGACGACAAAGATAAATTAATCAACTTACACACTTTGAAAAAGTTATCCTTACCCTGAAAGAAGCTCTAAAACAACACGCATTTAAAAAAACTAAATAAGTAGCTGAAATAACTATAGCAGGCAATGCCTTCTATTTTGCAGTACCAATAATAGAATTCTATAGAATCTCCTTTTCCTAGGTAATAAAGTTGGTAATTCCAAACCAACTGGCAAATTCTTCCCGACAGCTTAACCAACCAGAACTCCACATAGGTTATTTTCTCACATATTCTTGTGGAAGAGCCAGCCACGAAAAACCCCGTCCCAAGTAAACCCTATGGGAAATAATTTTTTATTTCAATTACTCAAGACTGAGGTAAAAATGCATACAATGGGAAGTTAATCAATTTAAATTAAATAAGCAGTAACTATATTTCCACATTACTGTCCATTCCTTTCTATAGTGCTGCGCATTGGAGATAGGAAAAGATAGACACCATCTCTGGCCACGAAAAACGGCAGTGAAAGCACATTACTGGAAGCCCTGGAAGTCTGGAAACAGAATCTCTTCTGAACTCACTGGCTTTGGGTCAAGGGAATATATTTTTAGCTTATTAGGTTTGAATTTGCAAGTACGTCCAAGTCAGTAAATGAAAGGTAAACTTCTGCGGCACCCTCGTGGAGAAGAGTTTAGAACCGCACTGTTCTGAATTTCCAATGCGCTAGTCAATAACGAAGTGCAAACACATGCAGTGAATATAAGATTCAACACGTCAAGTGTTGAAGAGGCTGAACAGGTTCAGTAGTGCCACATAGAAAAAGACTGAGAAATCAAGATTAATGTCTGACTTTGTAAAATCACTAAGAATTTTAGTACTGGAAAAGACTTCACTCAGTATTACCACCAACAAAGGAACTGAGTCATTCAAATGCTAATAAACCGTCTGAAACAACGCCCACTCCCTTGTTTACGAATCACAATAACAGAAAAAAAAAAATGTTTGAAACAAGTAAACGAAGCGTTTTTACGGCACTCTTCCCGAGGGACCGAAATGTCTTCCTAAATCACTCAACTGCACCAACTGCAAAGAAGGAATATTTTAGACCCGGAGCTCAGGGCCCGGCACGTCCAGGTTACCCGACTCCGGGCCAACTGGACCCGGCCTGCGCGTTCCACTAGGCCGAGCTCCGAGCCGCTGGAGGCCTCTTCCCCGCTGCGCCGGGGGGCAACCCTTGAGCCTTGAACTTCACCTTCTCCGTCCGGCCCAGCACGCGCCAAGTGCGCGCACTCCGGCCGCTCCTCCCACAGACATTGGCTTCACACCCAAGCACCCAGATCTCAGGAGAGCTCGTACCTCACTCTGCTGCTCTGAAAGCCCCGGAACGTGGGGCCGGCCGCGCTCCCGCCCAGCCCCGGGACTCGGCCCAGGGGGCTGCGGAGGAGGGAGAAGCTGCGTGTGGGAACTGCCATGGCCCTGAACTGCTGACTTCCGGATGAAGGTTCACCTCCCGCCGCTGCGGTCCCGGCAGCTGCAGGCTGGGTTCCACGCTACCAGGCCCGGTGGGAGGGCTGGTCCCACTAGCAGCCCATTTCCTGAGAGCCAAGTAGGGGCGGGGCCCGGAGCCAAGCCCCCTACGCGGCCGGGGGCGGGGCTGAAGGAACCGCGGGCAGTCGTGGGTAGGACCTGGAGTGCAGGGGCAAGCTGGACATCCTATGTATGGACAGTTGCATCTGGAAGAATGGTGGCATGGAGTGTGGCTTTGGCGACTTGGCCTCTCGACACGCCACAGATCTCCCCAAAGGGAGGACTCAGGGAAGGCAGCTGAACCAATCAATTCAAGCAGGACGCCCTCTGTCTCCCTAGCTAGAGTTCTCAACCAACAGCCTGTGAAGGCCACGTGGAATTTGACTTAAAGCAGGAAGGACTTTACTGGTTCTTTTGTTTCTCACTCCTGAATAAGACCTTTGGACATCTTGGGAGCCGGAGAAAGAAACAAAAGTGTGTGTGGAAGGAAGAGAGGGGTCTGGCAGAACAAGCCCTTGACTTTAAGGTTTCTGTATTATTTCCACTTTTGAAAGAAAAAAAATTGACCAATGCCTATGGTTTTCCAGAGTCTATAATCGTGTTAACAGAGCCAACCCTGCTGTTACGTGGTGAATTTGCAGTGAGAAAGCAAAATATCCCTTTGAAAGAGTAGAAATCAGACTAAGCATTCGTTACACTGGCACATCTTAAAAGATAAACTGAGCCATGTTAAAAAAAATTTTATGTGCTTATTTAAGCAAATGTCTATTCGAATCAGGCAGCATCCAAATCTAGCAGATAAAAAAGAGCTATGCAAGGTAAAATTCTCATATAGGCAAAAGGGAACAGGTACAAGGGAGTTATACTGGCAAAAATGTATTGCAAAGTTACTTTCCTTTAGGGAGTGGTGAGAGTCTGTCAACCAGGTTACCTAACTAGTGCTGATTAAGCAAATTCCTTATTAGTTTAAGAGTCCAATTCTGGTAGAGCTAAAATGTAATGAACTCTTTGGTGACGTGAAGCATAGCATAAGCCATGCCATTTTCAGCATTTTTTCTTGTTTTTTAACAGATTAGCAGACAAGACCCACTGAGATCAAACCTGTTGCAAAGTTAAAGGAAACAGTATTTCTCCCAAAGTCAGGCTGCAGCTATGAAGTGTCATCACAGTCCCTTTGACCACTTAAAACTTTCTTACTTAAACCTTTGTTCTAGAAAATCACTGACTGCCAGAAAGTTCCCTATTTAAAACCATATCAGTAAGAATGAAACATCCTACTCTTCTTGTCTGGATGACCGAAGTGAATTTGACACAAAGAAGAGAGTTTATTTCCAGCCTGGGTACAGATGATACATTTCTGGGCACAGTTCATATCTATCTTAACTGTATCGGTTCCAAGGAAAGAGGCCCCTGGGCCCACTTTGCAATTCAGCCTGATGTTGGTCCCTTTACACACAGCCCATTTTTGTTTTGAGCCTACCAAAATACTGTTTCTTTTAAATTTGACTTGAACTCTACTCCTTCCCAAATCCTATAATAACCTCATATATCGCCTTTTAATTGATGAGATACTTCTGGGTATCAGTGATATGCAGTTTCTCTCAATACAAGGAGCCAGTTATCCTAAATTTTCTTGCTATATATTTGTCCCTGGTGATTGTGGTCTGGAACAAGAATGTCCTGAAGGAGAGATTCCTGCCCAGGAGTAGTTATCAGTGTAGTGAAGTGGGCAATATTCTGTGTTCTCTATTTGATGGAGGAAGACATGCCCTCTGTGAGGTGCTATACCACATACTCCACTTCTTTGGCACCTCCGCTATACTTAAAATAGTAATGGGCAAAGAATGGGCATGTCATTAAGGTTTATAAGGAATCGACTTACACCACATTTCAAAACATAGCTTCATCAGTTCAAAATTTTTAAATCATTTGGCCTTGCATAGAATAGGTACCTGTCTCATAGGAAGATGTGTTGATCATTGCTCTTCCTTATCCTTTGTCTCATGCAAATGCCTTGCCAGCTCCTGCTGTCTCTCTCTTCACACATTAATAGTATATACTTCCTTCTAATGGACAGCTAATGTTATATTCTACCCCAACATAAAATAAACTCCCACTGTTTCTGAGTAACTCATTAAAGTCGTATTGAAGGAAGAGCCTGGATCAAGTAAGGGGAGACCACTGGCCTGTCATCTGAAGGTGGACCCACCAGAAAGTCTACCTACTTAGCATAATGCTCTCCAGTTCCAACCACACTATTGCAAAGGGTAGGAGCTCCTTTTTTCATTCTGCTGTGTAGAATTCCATTGTATAAATGTACCACAGTTTTTTTTATTCATTCATTTACTGATGGGCACTTAGGTTGCTTCCAGCAATTGTAAATTGACTATTGTAAATTGTGCTACTATGCTAAGTGAAATGAACTGGGTGGTAAAAGACAATCCCATAGGATCTCACCTATAAGTGGAATCTAATCGACAAAGCAAACAAGCAAGCAAAATATAACCAGAGACATTGAAATAAAGAACAAACTGACAGTAACCAGAGGAGAGGGGGGAGAGAATAGTGGGGGAAAAAAAGAGAAGGGTCATCAAGGAATATATATAAAAGACACAGGGACAAAACCAAAGGGGACAGGAGAGAGGTTGGGAGTGGGGGATGGGTGGCGTGGGGGGAGTGGTAGGGGAAAATGGAGACAACTGTATTTGAACAACAATAAAAAATAATTCTTTTTTCTAAAAAAAATGTGTGATAAGATTATTTAATTCAAACTAAGTCCCAAAATACAATTTTATTTCACTTTAATGATGAAAACAATAGAATAAAGTGACAAAAACAATAAAATGAAATACACTTTAAATTAAAAAAGGGAAAAAAAAGAAAGTCTACCTACTATCTAATCTTAGTGTCTGTTCCAGAGCCTGGCCAGTGGATAGGACACACTCAAGTTCTCACTAAATGTCTGTTGCATGAATAAAAGAGTAATTGAATGAATTGGACCTAGACTCAGCGGGAATGCAATGAACTGCCCAAGAATCAAGAGTCACCTTTAAGGAGATTTTGACAGAACTGCTACTCCCAACCCACAGACATAGAGTGGTGGCTAAACCTTTTCCAAAGATTTTAAGTATGTCAGAGAATGTGTATGGCAGGCCATTGCCAGGTTTTGGGTGACTATAAGTTTTCTCACACATTTTGGTTTTCTTTTCAATCAATAAAATACCCCTGCAGAACAGGGGTATTCTATTGCATACTCTTCTTGCAAATGGGGAAATTGATGTCAATCCACTGAGTTGTGCCATGAGAAATTTTCCCTAAGTTTCTGAATGATATCTGTCCTGCAGAACTGTAACTCCCCTGAGGGCTAATTTGGATAATCTCTGGACAAGTGTTATATTGCCATTTTTAGTTGTTTAATGGCAAGATTCCCTCTCTTTCTCCCCTCTTTATCTATCTATCTATCTATCTATCTATCTATCTATCTATCTATAGAGAGATAGACATAGATACAGATATACAGATATACATATATAGAGAGAGTGATTTATAAATATAAAACATTACAGAGGACATGTAATATTTTTCAACCTGATCCAAGGAATTGTTTGAAGAAGAGACTTTCCTCAAAACATGAAATATGTTTTTCATAAATATGAAAGATTATGACCCTATAACCCAAAACAATCACATATGGTATTAAAACTATATATCAGATTTTCTTGTATTTTTCTTTTCTAAGCTAATTTTAGCTAAAAACATAAGCTTTATTCTGGCCAATACTTCAACAACACTAATCATTAGTGAAATGCAAATTAAAGCCACAGGTGACATACCACCTCACACCCTTTAGATGACTGATATCAAACAATTAATTAGTTAATTATTAAGGACTTCTAGTACAAAATGGTGGCAAACGAAGACCCTGAACTCACATCCTCCCAGGAAGACATGGAATTTACACCTACAGAAAGCAAATCCCCCTGAAGAAGAACTAAAGGCTAACTGAACTTCTTCTGCAAAACAAATGACAGAGACAACACAGAAACAGATCTCCCTGAAGCCTGCTCCAGCTTTAGCTTCTAGCCTTGTGACTGACTGGTCCCCAGGACTCCCATCAGCTTGCAACAACCCTAGTTACAGCTCCTGCAGACCACACCCGCTTTGACTATAGCCCCAGTAGCTTACCTCTGGGAATCTCTGCAGCTTGCACCTGCTCCAACTTCAGCTCCAGATCCCAGTCTAGCTTGCCCCCAGGACTATCCAAGGCCTGAGCCCACTCCAGCTACAACTCCAACAGGTCTTGCAAGGTAGTCCCATTGCAGCTTGCCCCCAGACTTTCTTTGACCTGTTGCCACTCCAGCTACAGCTCTAGGCCCTAGTAAGACCTGCCTCCCAGGCTTCCCTGTGGCTCATGCATGCTCTAGCTCCAGCTGGCCTGCCAAAAACACCCGCCGCATGCAGTCTACAAAGGAGTAGCTCCTACCCAAGTTCGCTCCTTCAAGACCAGGAGAGGTTGCTGTATTGCCTAACTTATAGAAACAAACACGGGAGAAAATAAAAAACACCAAACTGAGGATACAGAGAAATAAGTCCCAAATAAAGGGCCATGATAAAGTCCCAGAAAAAAAAACACTAAAGGAAATAAAGACAGGCAATGTATCAGATGAAGAGTTCAAAACATTGGTTATAAGGGTGCTCAGTGAACCCAGGAGAGGCATAGATGTACTTGGTGAGAACTTCAACAGTGAGATAGAAAGCATAATAAAGAACCAGTCAGAAATTAAGAAGACAATAACTGAAATGAAGAATACATTAAATGGAATCAAGAACAGAATAGATGAAGCAGGGTATCAAATCAGCAATTTGAAAGACAAGATAGCAGAGAACACCTAATCAGAATAGCAAAAAGAAAAAAATATTTAAAAAATGAGGATAGATTAAGGAACCTCTGAAATTCAAATCACAGAGGTCCCAGAAAGAGAAGAAAAAGAGAAAGGGACAGCAAACCTATTTTTAAAAGTAACAGTTAAAAACTTCTCTAACCTGGTGAAGGAAACAGACATAAGATTAATGAAGAACAGAGAGTCCCAAAAAAGGTGAACTCAGAGAGGTCCACACCCAGGCACATCATAATTAAAATGTCAAAAGTTAAATCAGCAAAAGATATTTTTTAACTTCAGAGTTGGAAACAGAAGCAAATACACTTAACTGTATACCAAATGGCTAGCAACCGTATTAGAGAAAAGTGGAAAAGA